CCTTTCTAAAATCAAAGTCTTAATTAGCTTTTTGCTGTTTGTTTCGATTTTTTTTTACGTTCTTAAGCTTGTAGTTAAAATTTTCTTTCATTGAGGATTAGAGGCAGACTCACCTGGTGTTCTACGACTTGTTGATCCAAAGGTTTCTAATAGCTGAAAATTAATTAATAAGCAATTTCCGTATGTGATTAGAAAAGGAAGTATGTGAACTTAGTGTCCTTTCAAAGGCACCAACTGCAGTTTGAGCAAAATGGCAATTTCATCATCTCCCAGTGCTGAAAACCTGTCTTGCTGTCTCCTCACGAGGACCAACTGTCTGGAGCACTTGTGGATGATCTCCCAACCTCTCTTTTTTTGGAGAGGTTTGAAGAGCTGGTCCACTCACCAGCTCTTTGTTCTTCGCTGCAGTCGTTGGCTTTTCGCAGAGCTGTCTTCAGTCCGCCATTTCTTCCTCTGAAAGTCCTGGCTGGTAACTTTTAATGCAGTCATAGGAAATGAGGCATAATGCAATAGTACTAAAGACAGTACCAAGACAGAAGTCAGAAGTCACATGCCACTCCTCTAACAAAAATTTTGCTTTGGCTAGCTAGTATTTGCTCTTAGCAGACAAAGATAGCACAGACAAGAAGGGAAACTCTACACTGTAGATAGACAATCCAGCTATTTGTTGTTTGGTTATTGGAAATAGGCATGGGGAATGAAAAAGCTTTATGTTAGCTAAATTCTGCCACAAATTCTTTCTGCTGCAAATTCTGCTTTGCTATCTGATAGCTTGGAGCTTGGGTCTCATCTGTTTCCTGTTGATTCTTATGATAGTCCAATCTGGTTCAGAAGGACTAGAACTAGAAGCACTAGCAGGTAGAAGTTCATTTTTCTCTTTAACAGAAGGCTGCATGTATGGGCTTGGAACTTCAAGGGAAAATGTTGGTTCAGCAACAGCTCATTTCATGGTGAGAGATTTCATAGTAGCTGATAGTTCCATCACTTAGTGGTTCTTAGTCAGGCCCTGATCTGACAAATTTCATAAACGTCTCTCTTCCTGAGTAGATCTTTGTAGTGCCAGCTGGGACCTTGGTTAGTAGTTTTGAAACTTCCTGTCTGGCATCCCCTCCTTCATTCATATGATCCTGAGAATAATGAAGAAAGGCTCATCTGGTGCAGAGGCTCCTGAGGATTACTGGCAGTTTGGCAAGAGCAGGATGTGCACTACTTATTCTGCACATCCTCCAAGAAAACTCTATATTTTTGGTATATCCATCTGGCCTTGTATTGCAGGCCAGGCATGAGTTGAGGGAGGCCAGGGGAGGGCTTGGGAGGCCCAGTGCAGGCTGCATGTGAGTCAGGGGAGGGCCGGAGGAGGCTGTAGGCGGGGAGGGGGTGCTGTGGGTGGGAGCAATTTGCAAACTTCCCTGTCAGCTTCCCCATTGACTTTGCTTGTGAGAAGCCGGCAGGGAAGGTCACAAATGGCAATCACATTACCCCAGCTCCCTGTGATGTTGTAATTGCAAGCCAGACACCGTGATCACGTGACCACGGAGGTGCTGCAATGGCTGGAACTTTGGGGACTGGTCACATGTCTGTTTTTTCAGCGCCTCCGTATTTTAAATGGTTGCTGAACAAATGGACATAAACCGAGGACTATCTGTACCATGCTTTGCTGTTCCTTTCTCCTTTTCCTCCTCAGACAACTTTCTGCTTTTCTTTCTCTAGTCCATGTTGACTGTGCTGCACACAATGACACAAAACACCTGAGTGAGTAGTTAGAGACTGAAGACACCTGTGATACTAATTAAAGTAAATAGTCTGCTTGAGAGATCGCTAAAATCCAGTAATGTCTTTTTTAACTTCTGAAGGGTACCAATAATTATGTCCATGCCATTTTCATTTGTTTTATTATTTACAAGAATGTCAAATATGAAAAGCAAAGCATCTGCTCTATTTATTTATTTATTTATTTATTTATTTATTATCAAATTTATGGACTATGAAATAAAGAATGGTGAATGCCATTTACTTGTACCAGTTTCAATTTATTGCATAGCAAATTGGGATTATTTGGGGAAAAGTGGAGGGGTACCAATACTTTTGGCTGCATCTGTATAAATCTATGTCATCCTGTTCTCTACAGTTCCCTCTATCTGGGAATTGGCCTAGTTTTTAAATCCCAGCTTGTTTAGTGGAAGGCATGATGATTGTACAGGTAGTCCTCACTTACCAACCACTCATTCACCAACCATTCGAAGTTATAATGTCGCTGAAAAAGGAGACTTACAACTGGTCCTCGAAGTTCCAGCCATTGCAGCACCCCCAGGGTCACATGAACAAAATTTGGGCACTTGGCAGCCAGTTCACACTTACAACCAGTTGCAGCGTCCTGCAATCATATGATTCCCATTTGCGACCTTCCCTGCCAGCTTACCACAAGCAAAGTCAATGAGGAAGCTGGCAGGAAAGGTCGCAAGTTGCTCAGGTAAGTCTTACCCCCGCCTTTCTTCGCTCACATGCACTGCACCCTCCTTTGCTTGCTTGCACATACCACACCTTCCCCCTTCGCTCACATGCACACACGCACCACTGCCCTCCTTCCCAGGCCTTGCTGCACTCACACATACCCCCTCTTTCTTGGGCCTCCCTGGACTCGCACACATGCACACACCCACCAACGCCCTCCTTCCCAGGACTCCCTGCACTTACATGCACCCCGCACCCTCCTTCCTTGGCCTTCCTGAGCTTGCGCCACACCGCAGCACCCCCTCCCCAACTTGTGCTCGGCTTGTGCCGGGCCTCCCAGAGCCTCCCCCACCCCTCTGCGGCACCTCCACGCTCCTTACCTGGGACTCCCTGGGTTTCCTGCTTAATGACCTGCATGTCTTTGGGTTACAACAACACCTGGGAGTGTCTGGATTGCCATTGTTAAGCAGTGCAATCATGTGACATTGCATTTTATGACTGCATTGCTTAGTGACCGCAATCCTGCTCCCAATTGCTATTATAACTCGAAGACTACCTGTAGATGTAAAGTTTATACCTTTCTGGGAGCCCTTTCTACTTGCTGTAGAACTTGCTGTGGATGGTGCAGAGCTAGGCACAATGCCTGTGGAGATGACTGAGAATCTTTGCTCTCTCTTTGCTTCAAAGGTACATCCCACGACTGGAGGCTGCGCTGTGGTGCTGTCGACCTCTACTTCACGCTGTTTGGTCTTAGTAGGCCTTCCTGTTTGCCCCTGCCAGAGCTTGGCTTGGTCCTTAACCTCAAAGAAAAGAAAGCTGTGCTGAACCCTACTATTATCCCTGAGCCCGGGGCAAGTGGCCCGGAACCTCCTAACAATCCAAACGCTCTGGGTCAAATAGTTGGCTTCCAAAGCACCGTAAGCAAATTCCTTGATTCCTTGCACAGCTTTAATTCCCTTAACTCATAGTAGCTCAGTTTCCCACAATGACACTGGTCTCCATTTTTAACCCTTTTCTTTAATTGCAGTCTACTTCCCTTGTTTGGTCAATGTATTCCACTTCTTTGGAAAGGAATATTGGTCAAAGCTTGTCTCCATTCTCACCCAACCATTTATTTATCAGGCTGTAGTTTTTCTCATCCAAGTTGCTTGAAAAGTGAACATTATGCCTACATCCAGTCAATAGAAGATTAACTTTTATGGGGTGGGAAACCTCCATAGCCAGTGGCACACATTGTAAGGTATCAGCCTGTGTGGTAAATTGCCACATGGATGAGTGAAGACAAACGTAAATGAATGTGATTTTAGCTTTTCCTCTCAGTTGATGCCCTTTTTACTAGTGTGTCTTTCACTAAAAGGCTATATTAAGAATCTTGCTCGTAAGGCTCTTCATACCTCAACTTATAAAGGTAGCTTTGTTTTGGCTTTGTTCATAACTAACCTATGATTAATAATCATAGCCTCTCTCCCACCCCATTCTCCCAGTAATCTTGTTCACGTAGGGGTCTAATATCCCAATTTTTTTTTTTAATGGCCATTTTGAAAAGGAATGGCCGTCATTGTTTAGTAACACATGGACTATTTGTCTGGCTTGGGAGAGTGACAGCTTGTTCCATTGTATCCAATAGGAATGATTGCATTTGTGTTCTCAAGAATTACTCCTACAGCTGATATTGTGAAGGATCCCAAACGTATTGTGTTCAGTTCCCAATAAATTAGAATTGGTGCTTACATTCCTATTATTATACCAACTTTTGATATTTCCAAATTTAATTTTTTAATTGCTTCTCAAGGAGGATGATCACCTTGTTAAGGAAACATCAGTCATCCCCCTTCCACATCAGCAGGGGTTGAAGAGGAAAGCTGATACACCACTTGGGTCCCCGCTGGAACCTGGCCAGATACTTGAGAAGACCGAAGACAGCAAAGTTAAGCTCAAAATAAGGGTAGGTAAATGGTAAATGACTGGAGAACCGTGCATATAAGCTCCAGTCTTAAACATAAGATATCACTATGGTTCTACGCTTGACTGGGAAAAAATCCAGCCCCTTTTGGAAGATGTATTGTAACTCATCACATGATTCTTTGGATTATGGGTGGACTTTATTTTAAATAAGATACTCCAAGAATAAGACAGAGTGAAACAACTTCAACTTTTGATATTACTGTGTCCTGTAGCTTCTTCTGTTCCATAGTGCTAAGACACTGCTAACACCAGGTGGCTTTGACCAAGCAACCCATTGTCTGCTGCATTTTTATATTTGTGTTAATAGCCATGTCTTAAGGAGCACAAACAAATATTTCTCATTCTATGCTTTGACAGTAAACGAGATTAGGCTGTTTAAAAAACAACCTTTTTTGTTTTTAAACAAGCTTGCTTATTGTAATTATTTTCCATAAAGGTGGGAAAGAAAACATATTTAAGCTGGTGAGTAACACTCCTTAAATTTGTTTTGGTTTTGTTTGTTTTCTAATGTTGTAGTTTTCAAATTCTCAAGAGGAGGAAGAGATTGATATGGACACTGTTCATGACAGTCAAGCTTTTATCTACCATCATTTGAATATGCTGGAAAGACCATCAACACCAGGTTAGTGATAGGGTGGATTAAAATCAGTAATTAAAAAAAAGATTTTTGTTTTTAAATTTATCTAAATCTGATTTTTAATTTAAAAAAGACAATAATATCTTGTTTACCAAAATGTAAACAAAAATTTATTATTCAGTCTCACGGAAACGTGCAAAATGTATACTTAGAGTATGGTTTGGTCATGTCCATATACACGGACATTAACACGGTCATTCATTTCAGTTTTACATCTCCTGAACGTGGCTTAGTTCATGCTTTTAAGTGTCCATTTCAGTGATTAAAGTCATATGTACAAAGACAGAGGCTAGATGGAAGTATATCCTGTGCTGAGGGGATGGTGAAACTAGTTCTAGTTAGGATAAAGGGATATTTATAATGTAAATATACAAATCTACAATGCAACAGAAGTACATTTTATTTACCTATTCATTTGTTCGCTTACAATTATTTGTATACTTCCTACTCATCAGACTTTGGCAGCTTACAATCTGAAAAGCATGAAAACATCTTCTAACATACAAATATATATATGCTATTGGTGGAAAATTTAAGTAACTTTTTAAAAAAATGTATAGATAATAATTGGCTTCTTTTAAGTATACCTCAAACTGACTGACTAGTACTTCCTTGCTTCTCCTGTGGTACAAGTAGAAGACTGATAATTAGATCCCCAAGTCAGCAGATCCTAGTAATATCTGTTTTAAGGAAAAGCATAACAGTCAACTCCTCCAAGTGTCTGAGATATACCTTCCGAAGAGGATGTGTTAAGTACCATATCAGCAAAGCTTGAGGAAGAATGTAGGCCCAGGGCCCAACTAAATCATGAACTTCTTAAACTGCTTTGTGCACATCCTTAGGCAAATCAAATGCAAGCTGAACAAATCCAGTAGCAGGTGTTAAGGGCTTGCAGGGCAGATTCTGCCATGAAGGAAAAGTTAATTAGATGTGAGCATCTCCTTTCCTAAAGTGTTTTTCAAACAAGCTATAGTTTTTCTCAGTGAGCCATAATCTTCAGAGAATTCCTGAGTAGCTCCCTAAATAGCACTCAAAAAGCACAGTGCTGGCAAACAGCTTGTGCTTTTTTAAATCAAAAGCTTCCCATTTCAAATAGCCACTGTGATGTATGTAGATTTGTCCCAAATCTTCCACTGCTTCTGCTCAACTGGAATCTATTCTGTATAGGAGAGGAGCAGTCATTTAACAAACCTGGTTGATTCAGGATTCCAAAATTCACATGAGCAGAGAGCATGTTTCAAACCGTAAGTTGGAAATCTGTTGGGTCCAATAGCTTCCATGGGCAGACCATTTTATAAGTCACGATGCCATCAAAGGCTTTAAGTACCCATTAACTTCATCTTTTCTGTATTATTTTTATTTTTAATTGTAAGCTATAAACAGAAAACAATATGCAGCGCTGTATTTTAGACATCATGTACAGTCACCATTCATCAGGCCATAACATAAGTGGTAGGGTACATCCTATGAACTCAGAAGAACAAATGCAAGTCAGCAGGCCTGGAAACAATGTCTGTGGTCTGAAATCTCTGAAGAGCTTATGTCAGATAAGAGAAAGCAATACCAAACTGGGTGAACCAATATTCTGGCTTGCTGTAACATGGTTTTCTGTCTTTGTATGGTTCTATAGCCTTCATATGGCATTTATTAAAATCAAAGGACTGCTTGGACATATTCTTCTAAAGCAGCGCTCCCATTTTTCAAATAAAGAAGGCATCACTTGTGAGCCTTTTACTGAGAACAAAATCTGGTAGCTTTGGTACAGGCATACACTGCTTGGTTGCAAAGATGATTCTGAAACTGTTGTTTCAACTTCTCTTTTAAATAACAAGAGGACAACAGCTCATCTGAATAATCTGTAATTGGATTGAGTTAAGACTTGAAGACCCAAAAGTGGCCTCTAGAATACTTATGACTTTCAGATTTGACAAGTTTCCAACTATGACTAGAGTTTTTCCTGTTCTGAAGCCAGTTTTCTAACATAGTCTTGTACTGTCTCCACTTGGTTCTTTAAAACAATTAATGTTTTATTTTGCTGGGAATACTTAGCAGATTTCTTCTGGAAAGTCTTAAGGCACAGTTCTCTGCATAGACAAGGCTTTTTTGTCACTCATAGCTTGGGGCCATGTACTTAACAGCTTTCTTTCAGGTCTTTATAACATGATGACCATTTAATTTTCAGGCTTTATGCAGTCCCTGGGATTTAGATCTGAATTTTATATTTGCATGGCCAATATCCTAAAAGTCCAGAAACCATACATCTAACCAAATTGCAAATTCAGGGCAGATTTCCAGAAAGTGAAAGTTCAAAGAAACAGTGGGTTAAAGTTATGAAGCTTGTATTGGAATTAGTGGGGAGAGTTTGAAAGCATAATAAACAGGGCAAACTGTGTTTGTGTTTTTGGAATTTTATTTAAAGGATGTAAGTGTTATAAGGCATAATTCTGTGCAGTTCTTGTACCAATAGGTCCATATGGTGAAATGGGGAATGTTGTATGTTCCTAAATTTGGGCATTTATGGTGTTACGGTGCCTTGACAAGACTTTGGTCTTGAAAATTGCCTAAGAACTTGTAACATGGAAACAGCTACTGAAGTGTTATATATAATCCAATAGACAGGTTCAATTACCATATGCCAATGGCGGTTCTTTTGAAATTATCTCTGTCATTTTCCACAATGAGCAAGAGAATAACCTTGCAGGATCAACCCAAGGCTGTAAACCAGCTTTTTATATGTATGTATGTATGTATGTATGTATGTATGTATATAATTTTTATTGAAAGTTTTAACAACAATAGGAACTAGTACAAACTAAAATAGAATGAAAAAGAAGAAAGGGAAGGAAAGGGAAGAAAAGAAAAAGCTAAAAGTGCAGATAGAAAAAATGTAGAAGAAAAATAGAAGAAAAAAAATATAAAGCAAGATACAAAGATGTGGCTTCTGATCTTCTTCACAGCAGCTATAAGTACAATTATATTTTAACCTCTCTCTCTAAAGTTACATCAGAGAAAGACTCTCTCCTTTCTATAATCCATCCTGTATAATCACCAAAACCATAAATCATAAGTTCATTTTTTTCTTTTTTATGCAAAAAGTCCATAAGGGGTTTCGAGTCACCCATAAAAGTACTTATTGTCTTTTCTCTAATCAAACAAGTCAATTTAGCCATTCAGCTTTTTATTTCTCAGTGGCCAACTAAATGCTGCTGGGATGCTCATGAGCAAGTGATGGAACCATTTCCCACCATTAGTCCTATGGAGATATGCTGCCCTTAATCTGAATGTAACGTTGAGTCTTAGACTGTCAGCCCTCAGTAGAATTGCCCTCCATGAATTCATCCAATCCCTTTTGAAAGCCAATCTACATTAACGGCTGTCATCATGTCTAAACTTTCTGTGCCCTTACCCTTATATTCTTGTATCTCAGTAACGAACATCTGTGAGAGTGAAGACAATTTAACATCTGCCTATGAACATTTATTTGTTGCTGGATTGAGATCTCTGTTCTGAGGTGCTGATTTAATCATTGTCCTAAAAAGATAACACATAATAACCAGTCGTCCCACAGAACCAACCATGTACAGAAGGGTATTAGAAAAAGGGGGCAGACCTTTTCAAATGATACTCAGAAGACAGGAGAGGGCTGTCAAAGCTAGCCATCACAAGCCCTGTGTGCAGACATGAAACTCTTGCGTCAGGAAATTTGTACTACATGGCTTTGGATGGTGTGAGAGACCTCATATGGATCACATCAATCCTTGTGATTACCTCCTCTTTCAGACATGTTGTGCTTTACCAGGTGGGGGGAAGAAATTCCATGGTTTGAGAACCATTGACCCAGATCACTGAGGCAGTTAATTAGCAGGGTTGGGACAACTTTCTTATCCTTCTGTTGACAGAAAATAGATTATCGTAAGCCAAGAAATAGGGGAGGAAACTGAACAAGGGCAGAGAGTCTATGTGAGCCAAAAACTGAGTTTTGATTGCTGAACCAGGCCACTGTTTCCTGAAGAATTCTGATCAAAGAATATATTTGCTAAAGATGAAGATTCGGAAGAAAATCAGATAGTCGTTTTATATATTTTCTTCCATCTGGAAAATGATTTCTCTTATGAAACATATGCTAAAGGTGTTCAACAAATTGAATTAGTTCAAAATAATAAGGACTTGGGAGTTTTAGCGTTAACATTAGAGATTCATTTGCATGACTAGTATTATCTGGGGATCAAATTGGCCTATGAATATAATCAGTATTTATAGCACTTTATTAGCATTTCATAATACTTACTTTGTGCTATTCTTATACTGCCCAATGAGGGGTATAAAGTAATAAGAGGTCCTGGAGACTTGTGCCAGAAAATAAACAGATGTTACTTCAGGGACCATTATAGGAAACAGCTGCACACTTTGAATTGTTTGGTGTCAAGTGAGTTGGGATGCAAATGGCTGCAACTTTGAGTCTTTCAGGCTACTTGGCTCATATGACAGAAACCTACAGCAGGCAAATAATCTATTTGGGGATCACATTTGTTCTAAATAACCACTGAATCCTGCAAAGTAACCTTTTGCCTCTAAAAAGGAACCTGTACTTCTTCTCTCTAGAATATGATGCCATACTTTCTAGAACACTTTGATTTAATTTGAAAATGGAAAAAATAACCTGGTATACAGAATGGAAAAAAGATGATCTGGTATACAATAGTAATATTTTTGTACAAACCAAATCTATGATTCTTCAAAAGCAAACATACACACTGTTGGAATGTTCATTATATTTTTGCCTTAAGTACAGTAGCTTTGAAAGCATCAATGCAAACCCTTTTTCAGCCTCTGATGTCACTCAACACCTGACTTATACTATGAAAAACAGATTTTATTTGTTATTCCATCTTCAAAACAGTAAGAGTGATTCACCCTCTTGCAGAGATCAGAAAAATCCAAACAACCAGAGTGAATTCTCATCTTCATTTAAACTTCAGCTTTCC